TTCTTATACAAGGGGAGACACACCTTACCATCGTTTGGTGGCTAGCAAGGTCTACTTATACAAGGGGAGAGACACCTTACCATCGTTTGGTGGCCAGCAAGGTCTCCTTATACAAGGGACGAGACACACCTTACCATCGTTTGGTGGCCAGCGAGGTCTCCTTGTACAAGGGATGAGACACATCTTACCATCGTTTGGTGGCCAGCGAGGTCTCCTTGTACAAGGGGAGACACACCTTACCATCGTTCGGTGGCTAGCAAGGTCTCCTTATACAAGGGACGAGACACACCTTACCATCGTTTAATGGCTAGCAAGGTCACCTTATACAAGTGACGATACACGCCTTACCGTATTTAAACAACCGCTTCAGCTCGGTAAGCGATGTACCGTTGGAATACGTGTATGTGTTTATTTTATAATAAATTTCAATTGCTTTTTATGTGAATTATTATAGAGCAGTTATCCATAAACTGCTCATATAAAGATATGTTTGCATAATCATCGAGTATATTTCCCGTATTAAGACACTAACATGTAAAGGATCGTTTTATTATATCTACATCACAAATTATGAGTTTACGTATATATCATATATCATACTTAATTTGAAAATATGTACAATTATTATTACTATTTAGCTGTTTAATAAACATGAAGATGCATAAAATAATCACCGTAAAATATTTGAAGTGAACACATTAATTAATTAATTAATTAATTAATTTATTTATTTATTTATTTATTTATTTATTTATTTATTTATTTATTTATTTATTTATTTATTTATTTATTTATTTATTTATTTATTTATTTATTTATTTATTTATTTATTTATTTATTTATTTATTTGTATCGTAGTATGGTTGCCGTGACACAACATTCCTTATTCCTGAAACTGATTATTTTCCTGTAAACATTCCTTGTCCGATGACTTAGTTTACGTAAACTTTAATTAATGTTGTATAGACAATAAGTAAGAAATGTAAGCAGAAATATACAATACCGCAGTCAGTTTCATCCGATTCGTCGGCACAATGGTTAGTACCATCACATCTTAAGTTTTCCCTTACGCAACCACCATCATCGCATTCATAATACCTTCGGCGGCATTCTCCTGCAAATGAAAGTATTTTGTTAAAATAATTTCACCAAATGACTAGATTTCCACACATTGTCACTTTAGAATTTACTGATTTTTTTCTAAATGTCTCACTTCTTCATGACCATTGTATCGCATTTGTATTGTTGACTGCCACATCTGTCTGTCATTTGGAAACAAATATACTAATTATCGTTGTTGGTGTATTATTCGATTCGTATATATATGTCTAATTTCAGATTAGTGTAGACATCAACTAGCTGCGGGTGACTGTTTGACATTTGAGAAGCGCGATTTTTTTCCAAGACGCGCGCGGACACGAAAAAAAAAAGAAAAAAACAGCACACTACTGTTACAACGAATATAAAGCTAAAAACACATTTCTGAATAATTGAACAATTTAATGAAACCAAACATAGCGAGTAATGAAATTACCTTGATGAAATACATAGAAGCACTAAATGTATGTATACAACGTAAACAAACCCTGATGCAGCGACGGCCTAAACGACCGACGTAGTCGTGTTCTCCGATGGTTATCTCCCGGTTTCAAGTTATTAGTTAGAACATAACTCGTCCCAAGTAATGCACAAGATACCGTGTTGAGCAGAAAATATTACAGTTGTGCGACCTGTTCACAAATTAAAAATGATTCTTCGAGAATATGCCGACAAACCTCAAATCAGAGTCAGATTGTTTTTCGATATATGTCACGTTTTTGACTGCTGAGAACGCTGAGAAGTCAATATGCAAATATATCGGCCGCCAAATGCGCGTATCTAATTGGCTGATAGGGATATGCAAATAATACAACATACTACCACCTCCCGCGTACGTGCAAAAGTGTTGACTTGGTTGGTTCCCGCCTCAAGTGTCATGGCGTACCAAGCCACAAGAAGCCGGTAACGAGTAACGAGTCCGGCATTGTAATTGGTCCATCAGTTTCTCGTTGCTTGTTCCATTTCGCTTGGTAACCTGACGTCAGCACCTACGCTCGTGGCCGTTAAGGGGTTTCCTTTTACTTTCGAAAGTTGGGCGAATAAAAAACTGTTTCTTTTGTTATAGAAATGCCAGAAACGTGTTAAATATGTAAGTCTGAGCAGGCAGAATGTATGAACATGGCTTTGATGTAGTATTACAAATACGTTCACGCATTATGGTACTTGGCAACCAAAGTGAACGAAGCATTTACAATTACAATTCTTGATAGGTTACTAAACCGCTTAGTTAATGCAATAGACGGTTTAAGCAATGGGTGTAATTTTGGGCGAGGATGTGTGGTGACATGATAAAAATCACAAATTATGTTACACATTTATATTCCACACACAGCGAAACACAAAACAACATGTTTCACAACTTTACAAGTGTTGGACATTTTGTTTTCGTTAAATAGTCAATGGTCACGGTGAAATTGGCAAAACGCTGTCTTGTGTCCTATATATTATTTAAGTTATTTTTTTTACTAAAACCAGAATTTATGTACGAGTAAACATTATACACATATTAATGATATATTTACAAGTGTATATATTCCGTAGATAAGCAAACAATTTTAAATAACGATTATTTACAAATATATTATTTTTATTTAAATTTAGAAAAAAAAATATCTAAAAACACTGTCACTTGCGTAAATGAATTGTGAGTACATTCGTATGTACGACCTTGTTATTACCACGTTACAACATTACATGTAACTAGCATGTTATATGTGGTGAATATTACGTTACAATATTACATGTAACTAGCATGATATACGTGATGGATATTACATGCAACTGTAATGATACATTATAAGTTAAGGTAATAAGCGAATATCTTCTGAAATATAATATTTGATATATATACTGAATTTAGTGAATGTATATTGCTCCCTAATAGTGACCATGTTTTGGCCACTTAGCTTAAAGGGCAGTGGTCGTTTGAATTTCATGTAAGACAATGTATTCCACACGCGCTGCATATGTCGCTTTGAGTCACATATACACAACAAGACGGGTGCGGCGATCACCGCGTTTTAAACTACTTACAAGGACAAATAAAACTATTGGAATCCATATCACATATTATGTCTGGTAGGGGCACTACATAGTATCAATCGATTTAGTGAGGTGGTGACCGAAATTGTGCTTATAAAAACACCAATTGCAACTTTAACAACGGTAATATTTCATCTCCAATGAAATGGTATAGACATATATAAACGTGTGGCTTTCCGACTAACTTACCAGACACATTGCTGAACAGGCCGGCTACTAGAGCGAGAATTAAAACACGTGTCACCATTTTCGAATATCACTGGAAAAAGTAATACAATTATATTTTTTTAATTATCATTATCATTATGTGTACCGTGTGTATATGATTTACCGATGACAATCAATAAAATGCTACGATTCATCTGATATGTTAAAAATTACTTCCCGTATCTTGTTCTTGCTTTGCATTGTAGCAAATTTGTGGCACACATATTGTAGTTTGTCGTCACAAGGCAAACATTTACTACACACATTTTGATTTCAAAGTATGCCCCAACAACACGTAATATAGTTTAAACTGACTAGCTAAATAAAAAATATATTGGTTACACTCATATGCATTAAAGGATAAAATCTAAAAAAAAAACTGATATGAAATGTGGTATCTAATGGTAAAGCTATTCACAATAATTAAGTTTGTTTTCAAAGTAAATCACTATGTCAGAATAATAACGACTTGTAGCAATATAATTACAATGGTATTCGTTAAAATAACAATGACAGTGGGTTTACCTGATTTTCTCACTGCGAAGGTCAAGTTCAATGGACACGATGTGATAGATGTCGCACAGTCTGGGGTTTGCCTTTTTATACATAAATTGTGGACGATTCCATTAGATCACGGGTAATAACGAGGCTATGAACCTGATGGTTGAGCTATGAAGAGTAGGTGGCAAGCGAAAATGTATAATCGCTTACAAGCGCACAAACAATCTAGTCTTTAGATATATATATCCCTTTTATATCCATGTGCACCATAGGAATGTAGTTACAACAAAACTATGTGTAGGCATTCTTACTTTTTATAATAAAGCTGAAAATAAAGAACAGCCAACCGAAAAATACAACATGGTATGTTTACAGTGTCAAAAAAGCATAATTTATATTCATAATAAATTCTTAATATATGTATGCCCTGCCCAACAAATTTGGAAACGCTTCAATCCTTCGTTGCTTATTGCTTGTTTTCTATTTGCGCAAAGGTATAACTCGGATTCCCATTTGTAGGTATTATTTGTGTAATGTCTTTTATCCATAAGGCGCAAATGTTACTCTGATGTTTTCAGTTATTAGTTTGTAAACAAATGATCTTTGCTGTAGCTAATTTATTACATACCAACGGTGTTTACATAATGGTTACCACCAATTCTAAAATTCTCTGTATCAACTGTTTCTCACAATAACCGTATGTATTTGTTTCATTGTTCGTTGAAATCGATTACCTGCCGCCAATCGCTAGATGAGTGTAGATATTATAGTTATGATTAATACATTGGTGGTGTTGAGATCACATATGATGTTTCTATGCCAACACTTGACAGGCGTGAACAGTGCCTGTGTACAAGTTGTATTCATAATTATGAGCATAATAAACAAACCGACACGAGTTACATTTTATGACAATTTTGATTTGCATAGAACATTTTTTTAATCGAAGCGTGAATAGAAATAAAATTAAAATAAATCGAAGTAAATTAGAAAAGAATATATATCATTAATCAGTTGCAATAACTTTTAAAATAGGCTGGTTATGCCAATTTTATATTTATAATCTTACTTCCCCATCCCCACTACATAAACATATTTCATACTGCGTCTAGCTTCTGTAAAACCTTTGGGAAACACGTTAGTTGCGCCTTAAAACATTTTAATGGAATTTGACAAGCACATCAGACCAATGGTAGTAATTCACATTAGAACCCAAATTGCAGTAAATGTCAAATACTGATCGATTAAGTTAGTGAGAAGAACATTTTTAATTTTGTTCTTGATTTTTCAGAAAATTATAAAATGGTTTCTTTAAACCTTGATACGGCATCCGAGCTTATCTAAAATTTGAAATTTGCATAATGTTTATTTTTGGGACGGATTAAATGACAAGTTTCCTGTCGCAGACAATGTCTGTTTATCTAACGTCCAATGTCAGCATTTATGTCACTCAAGACATCGTAGGAACACAAAATTATTTAAAGCCAATATTTCACTAACGCAATGGCGAAGAAAAAAATGAAAGCAAAATATTATGACCAACCTCGCGAGTGGTTAGAAAAGACGATGAGGTGAACTATGCGCATCAACTACTTTATCGATGACGACACAGATACTTCATCCGAGGAAGCGAGTACAGAAAATCTGTTGCTTGTCGATATAAGCCAAATAAAAAAAGCCATCGTTTCCGTTTACGCAGCCGTTACACTGCCGGTTTTGTTTTCTATCATCAGCAGTATAGTCAATCCATTCACACAGCTTTACTTTGTCTACTTTTATTTTGTCTAGAATCACAGTAATGAACTTAGTCCTGACAAATTATACTTGCTAATGACGGAGAATCAAGCTAATATTGATATAGCATAGTAAAAGACAGTGAACGCTTTAATAGGAAAACTGTAATCTTCATATTATTTTGCTTAACGAACTTGGTAATCGTTGTGCCATCCATGGGTAAGTTTTAACTGGGCGATACTACCAAACATATTGTATTACTTACACCAATAATTTATGAGCATTATCTAAGAAGAATGGATAGTTTTCCTGTGATTTCTCAGGCGTCTAGCTATGGTCGTTTTGTTGCAGCAAAATGTTTTATTTGAACATCGGTCATTTTTTTCACCGTGATAAATAGTTTTATTAGATCTCTTATCGGCGACACTTGACGGATTAGCTTGTTTGTAAACAGTCTGCCTGCACAGTGGGACAGTAATGTTTGTCGGATTATTATCCCTCGTTGTGAATTAGCATAACAATGGAAGCCATGACTCCAGACCGCTCCAGCAGTATAGGACTCAAAATGCCAGCTGTTTTCTTCAGTTTTCACACTCACGTTTGAAATTATTCGTTATCTGACACGCTAAATGGTTCCATGATATCAGTGATTAATAAATTTGACCATTCTTAGTGTTTGTTTTATAATAATGCACCAAATCTGCAGTGTAATAATATTCAAAACTTTTATTCACGTTTTTCTCGAGTTAAAGTTTTGATTTAGTATGGTTCATTGGGACGGCCGTCAAATCAAGTGCGCTCGGACTATGACATTCAAACCCGCACTTATCGGTTAAAAGATAATGACGGTGCGAAATACATCCGGATTATTCAAAAAAATGCTTTGCCTCAGAATAGTAGTCTGTTAAATAATGAAATAATCTAGAAACAAAAAAAAACAAACAAAAATAAACCTGCGTGGAAATCGAAAAAATGGGTCTTTTGATTATCAGGAACACATTTGAATGGACTAAATACGAATAATACATGGCGCAAATTTCACCCGGAAATTCCGCAGTGTGCTCTTGCTCAGTGTGCTTATTTTTACAAGGTTCGTCATTTTTGCTGTCACATGGTAATTATGTAGTCAATGACTGTCCAGTTTGTGCGAAATGTCCCTCTATACTTAGACTTTTGAATCATATACGCTAAATTACGGTTCTGAATGAGACAAAAGACAGAGAATGCTTTATTCAAAAACGTCGCGAAACCATTCTCGCAACTGAGTAAAAATAATAGTAGTGAAATACACCTACGTGGAAGCATAATTCTTAAATTTACCGCCGCCCACCACACTTAATTTAAACACTCGTTGTGCGCCATGTGTCAGGTCGGCAGACACCAAAGACAAGGTAACACAATCGGCTTCTTTATGAAACCAATAATCGGAACAAGACACTCAATGACGATACAAAAGGTGATTGAATAATCATTGATAAATGGACATATAAATAATGGTATTATGGTGAGAACATATAAAAGGAATTCATTCGGGTTTCCGCTGAACAAATAAAACGCGCATTTTCTACTCTAAATCAATCGAAAAGATACAAGTCAAAGTACAATACAATCATAGTTAACCTCACTTTCATTTGAACATATTATACAATAACACTAAGATGGAATATATATATATATATATATATATATATATATATATATATATATATATATATATATATATGTTATCATTGGAATAAATAAATAGCGGGACCTATTTTTGAACATATTATAACAATAATAAAGATCTAAAGTCGACTTACAATTAAATATTAATTTGGACATTGCTACGTGTAGAAATATTAAGGTATGATCTCCATGTTACAAGCTTTTGAAATATGAAATAATCATCCAGATTCATGCGATCAGCGTTAAGTAATCATTTTAAGGTAGTTTACGGAAATAGTTGTCAGGTAATAACAAATGCGGGTAACATATTATGTCGGTCAATGCCATATATTGCTTATGTTGTTCTATTTCTTGATTGAAATGAAACCATAGCAAACATATGTTTTTACACGCACCGAACATAGATTAGAAAAATGGAGGTGAAAACAGTTATAATACAGGTCTGATACTAGTATTATTTATATTTATGTACGGTATTTTTTTACCGAACCACAATTAAAGTTTTTAAACATCGCCTGGTATTCTCCAGATTGCACAGTTTTAATCACATTCGTAGTAAAACCTATTGTTCTTGCTAATATTTAAAGAAACAATGACATTACTACCACGTGTTGCATATTTACAGAATGCCTTTCATATCCACATCTGTCAACTTTGCTAGGTCACAAACTAGCAAATAAAGTACAATAGCAGCGTCACCAAGACATACAACACAGCTGCCGATTGACAAACAGGATGAGAATTGTGGATAGTGTGGTAAATATGCACTTGACCTTGAACACATGTTTTAACTTTGTAAGAACAATTGGTCATGATATATGTCCTTCCGGTATTCGAATGGAATGACCATTTAACATAAATTGATATTTGATAACGTATATATAACTTTATATTGATTACGATATGATACGATACTTGATTGTTATGAAGACTTGAAATATCAATGGCTAGCTGTTGTAATCAACATTGAATCTGACAAGAGTCTGAATGATCGACAGCATAAACATTTAATGTTTACTGGAAGAAGTTTATCAATACGCCGATCAGTCATCATTATAATAAGGCGATTTATCCGAGTGCAATATAAATATTTAGTTATTATTTTATATCATATCATTTTAATTGCAGAACTGACTCGCATGGCTTTAATGTACACCAGCTGTGATTTTCCAGAAGTGGTATTGATCAAATGTGGACATTGCGAAATTCCAAACAACTTTCTGCTATTTCTGCTATCAAAACCTTTGCTTACTACCAAAGCACATGACAAATTGGGATTGATGGATGAAAGGTATGATCCATCAAGCTTGTTATTTAAAATTAATCTTCACCTTCATACACGTACATTGTATCGGTGTACAAAAGCACTTCTTTTTGTTACTGAATGCAAATTGTGTGATAGTGTGGTATATATACGTGGTCTTGAGTATATGTTTTACTCGGTTGTTTCCTTGTGCCTTGTGTATTTTCCCTGCATGTATTAGTAGTGTGAAGACTGTCAAATGACGATCATACTAAACTCAGCCACAATTAGAACTTTATTGCAAAAGTTACATAATAATATCTTACTACTCAGTTATAACATACAATATAATTACATACGCTGGGTGATATTTCCGTTTAAAATGACAATGTGCTTCAAACAGCTATTATTATTAT